TTAGGGTGGGCTCTAATGCAAAGTGACTGGTGTCCTTAGAAGAAGAGGAGGCAGAGCAATAGTGGGGAGAGGGCCATGTGAAGTCAGAGGCAGAGATTGGAGTGATGCAGCCACAAGCCAAGCAGCACCTGGAGCCACCAGAATCCGGGACAGACGAGGAAGGATGCTCCTCTGGAGGTTTCATAGGGAGCGTGACCTTGCCAACACCTTAATTTCAGACTCCTGGCCTCCAGAACTGTGAGCAAATATGGTTCTCTTGTGTTAAGCCACCCAGTTTGTGGGGCTGTGTTACAGCGGCCCTAGGAGGAAATACAGGAGGAAAAAAAAATTTAAGTGGAGACAGCTTGTGGGGTGGGAGGAAGGAGGGTGCTTGATTTAAGGGGACCGTGGAATCTCTTCTCTGTGTCTACCCAGTGGATCCTCCTCTAGTTCCTTTCCTCTACCTCCCTTCAACTCTGTAGCCAGTGGATCCGCAGTCTTTAGTGAACAACACTAAGACCTGCCCCATGGACCTGGCTCTGTGCTGGAGGCCGAGAGGGACACAGCAGCTTCGAAGCTGAACTCCCACTCACAACCTCCTGGGCACCTACCTGTCGGAGCGGTCGAGGGCGTGGGCTCCAGGTCAGAGCGCTCAGCACAAGGCCCAGTGGTGCCGCAGTGCCACGCACGCCTCCCCAGTAGCTCGCCCCCTTCCCGCTCGCCCCTGCTCTGTGGTGCTGACCCTGACGTCTCAGTATCTCTCGGAAGCTCTGGGACACTTTTCAGGAAAACCACAGGTCCTAACCCAAGTTGTCATTCTCTCCCCCAGGCAGCCCAGCACCCCCTTGCTTACCCTCCCTCCCCCTCTGCCATCATCAGTTTCAATGCAAGGACGCAACATTGGGAGTTAGGCTGACCTGGGTTCCAGTCCTGACTGCCTAGACCCTGACCATGCACAGCCTCTTAGGCCTCAGTGTCCCTGTCTGTGAAAGGGTATCTCCTTGTCTGTACCTTCCTGCGCCCAGCACTGTGCCTGGCATGCATTCAGTGCCCCACAAACACTGAGTAGTTGTGTGAATGCCTGGTTCTGGATGCACACAGATCCGTGTTGTTTGCTCAATAAAAGAGGGAAGAGAGAGAGGAGGATTTCTGGATCCTAGGACT